TAAAGTCACTGGCCCGTGGACATTCGGAAAATGCTATCCAATCCACGAAAATCAATCGCTTATTCCCACATTCCTGACGATAACAAACAGTCAAAAATTCTGCGGCGCATTCAAAAACACAAGCTACATTCCTACACAATTACATACGTATATACACCCATATACTTACATACACTGTTATGCTAAACATGTCCAATTGTACAATTTGTTCACACTATGTTAGCTAAGTATGATCATGCCTGTAAAGGTGTGCCTCGCATTGTTGAGAATAAAAATTTATTTATTTATTTATATGCCTACGACTATGGCCAACACTAGTGGACAGGCATAATGAAAACCAGATTCTCTGCTTTAACAGCTTTTGCTAGTAAAACACTCGCGTTTCCAGATTCCATTTCACTGGTGCGAAAGCTAACCAACGACAGAAAGGTCCCTGTCACACTGGCTGGCTGGATCACCAGTAACTTTCGACTACCATTTGTTTTATCTCGGACACCCGTGTGTTAGTTATCTTTTACCTGGCTCCAAAGCCTACCATGCCTTAGGCGTACTGGTGGGTAAACAACCAGCTTTCAACTTTTTGTTACTATCCTACACTTGGTTTACCTTATCACACTTTGCTTAGGGTGCTAGAACAGCTCTTGCCAGGAAAACCACAAAGGAACTAGCCGGTGCGACAATATAGTACTAGTTAACATTGCCACCTGAATGAACACCGCTGGCACGTGCTTCGGAAGTTAAAACTGGAGAGAAATAGCTCGAACTTGATCAAACAACTGCACAATAGTGTGCATTAACACATGTGGCATAATAATACCTTATGTGCGAGCAAGCTCAATCCCCAGAAGTAGAGTTGGTAATGCCCCACCTACGCAGACACGAATGAATTTCACGCCCCAAAGCATTTTGCTAAATTTTACCAAATGCTCCCCTACTCAATTCTTTATTATTAGGGACAGGCTCCTCTAGCTCACTGGTGTTGGAGACATAGACTCATGAATGTAGAAAATCGGCACTATGAGATAAAAACTTACAATGTTTAGCTAAGAAATGTGTGCGTTTTGCAGGCCACAATGTGTCAAAGGATCCGATGGTCTCCTGTGATTTCCAGGTTAACCTGACTCATGCAGCCTTGATATAAACTTCAGAAGCACTTAGAGGTTTTACAATACTAAACTCTATTTGTAGTGGTTTATGTGGCTCAGTATCCACTGAAAATGGTGTACTGAGGCCTTCTGACCGTTCGGTAATTATACGTGCTCCTGAATTCCCATGCACACATAATATTCCTTACTAGGTTTCTAGTGTTTTCGCGCAAAATTATAGCTTATTTGCCTACATTTGCTATGTATACCTCCAAAGAGTGCTTTTCGGCCACCTACGAAGTCCCTGGTTGTTGCAGCGTATTACGGGCTATCTAGAGCCTTACTGGATAGCCACAACTATTTAGAACGTATCTCGATTCGCTACTTGTTATATTTTTTATTATGTTTCTTCCTATCTGCTTGCAAAGCAGAAAGCCAGATTAGCGAAAAAATGGCGTTATTCATAGACCACCGTACAATTGCGAATACCGCGCAAACTACTGCACGTATTGCAATGTTTTTACTTTTAACGTAATCAGCAGTTAAAACTTGTCTTAAGCAGCCTACTATTGTGCCACTTTACGCAATATGCTGGCCATAGAAAAGGATTTGCTTTTTTACTGTGATTTACGCAGGTTGAAATTGAGCGCCAAAAATTAATATCAGTGTAAGAAACGTTTGGCTACATCATTTGTTAATTTGTGTTGTTCTAGTGAAGCATGCCCGCTTAGTAGGTCACCTAACAAATCCATTTTATTTTCAGTTGCATTTTTCGAAATTATTTTTTAACTTTCCGTATCCCTTATTATTCCGCCACCCTTATTTCTTCCAGGTGCGCACCAATAATTGTGGCGACTGAGCGGGCCAAAAATGTCCAATGAATTTAACGTGAAGTTGTGGTGAATTGGATCCTGTTCCAACGAAAACCATCACAACTGCGGCTTTGTGCAACTTTCTCAACAAAATAACAAGGAGCTTAGTATGGCCCGAAGGAACCAGAAGCAAGTCAAGGTGGGCGCTTACGACCTCATCAGCTGTACACCAAACAATGCCACTTCATTTGTAATTGCCAACTAGAAACATATACTCGTAGTTTACCTACTTCCATGCAAGTGCACGGGGTTTAGGTAAATTTAATCTGAAACCTTAAGAGTGCAGCCTCTAACCAGTCTAGGAATATACCTATTTAATTATGTATTTATTTATTTAACCTTCCTTACCGACGCCTTTCTTTCCTTCTCGTGCTTTCCGTTTCATTTTTTATTTATTTGATGTCTGCTTTCATGTGTTTGTCCTCCCTGACTTCTTAGATTCCAAATAAAATAGGACTGAGACAAGGCGTCCGTATAGCTTCCTCGGGGCGACATTTTTTCTTTATTCCGCACATCACGTCCTCCTCTGTTGTCCCGTGTTCTGCTCGCCTCTCGTCGTAGTTTTTCACTTATGATACAAGTGTATAAGTGCTACTTAAACAACAACTACATGATATAGGGGAACAATAGTTCAGTCGTAGTTGAAGTTGGTCGACTACGTTCCGGATGCGTCGTTCGTTTGTCTGTATGGCTGTCTTTGTTCGGTGCCCTTTTTCCCTAGCTTTTCACATATACGGAGTCGAGCACCCAAGGAATCGTCCATAGCTGTGACCTTTTTACAAAACGAGGCAACGAATAGATTAGCCGCCGCTTTTACAACTTACTCACCAGGCAAATGATTTGATATCACCCAAGAATAAAAGTTTCTTTAGACCTGAACAATTTGGATCAATCCGCCATACTATATCTCTTTTATGTCCTTCTTACCTGGAGCTCTCCTATTGACTTCGGCGAGCACATTCTGCAGCCGATGCAAGGCCAGAACTATTGGGTTCGGCCATTTTTCGCTACTGGATACCTTCATCCGAAGCTCTTTACCTCACTTTGCCCGTTCATTTGGCCGTGTATGTCTACACTTCCATCCCGTTTTGTAAATAACCCCGGGTGGACCTCCGATTTGTTTTTGGGACAATATTCCCTCCTTCAGGGCTTTAGGGTATTTCTTTGGATATCCCGTGGAGGTGTTCCGCGGTTCTACATAGGAGCAACACATTACATAAAAAATATTCAATTCATGACCTACCAATCAGGCCGAGCCATTCAGTCAGGATAGAGTAGGACAGAGGAACGAAATAGGCTCTCGCCTAACAATCTGCCAAAGGAAAGATGGGACGCAACATGACTGCAAACAACCCAGAAAACAAAAGCGCTTAACAAGAAGCATTGCCAGTTATAACTAGCCATTCAATGGATTGGCGGCAGCGTTGCAGGACGTGGTGTGTGTTCGCTTGGCAAACGTTCTCTCTATGAAAAGCCACAAATGTCCTTTTAACAACACTGCAACGTGGCGTATGTGACTCGCCACCAAATAAAGTCACAACCCATAACTTCACACTGGCAGATCAAGTAGCCTTACCATTCTAGATACGTGCGTTACACTGGAACTTCCACGTCTACATACACTGTCGCCTCTTCTTTCTACGAGTTAACGCATATACTCTCATCTGTTTACAAGTTCATCGTTGATCATTGCGTTAGGTACGCATGAACTCAGTATATTGTCACACCTCGCTCGAGCTTGCACTTCAATTAGCTTCTATTTGATCATTCAGGATTCTTAAGCTATTATTAGCTGAGGTCCCGATCTCACGTCAGCCCAATTATTGTTTCAACTTTCGACCATTGCACAGTTCCAATCATGGACGTATGAATAATTTTCCATTGTCGCTGCCATAAAATGTCTGTACATTTGCACCTACCTGCTAATGCCCCTATGGGCGTGCCTCGCATAGTCGAGAATAAATAATTATTTATTTGAAAGCCATGGAGTTTGCAATGGTCGTACCACAGAATTACAACGTAGCCTTATCCGCTTTACATGTTTGTCCGACTCTAGAAAATGGTGTCCTTGCCGCCTACCTCATGAAGAACTTTGAACGTGATCTGACAGAGAAGGTGCAGACGCGCCATCGGAGCTTTGGGACCTACCTTAGATGCCTCGGTAAATGCCAGAACAAACTATCTGGTTTTTTATTAGCCCTCAAACTAAAGATATTGAACTTGTTCTCCATAGAATACCGCCGCGTCACGGAGACACCTAGCACACCACGCGCATCCTAATATGAGAGACTGGATGTGAGTTGCAGCAACTTATGCATCTTACTGTGGGCAGCGATAGTTGGCCGCAATCAAAACATATTTAAGCCGCTCTACCTACCATGATAGTTAATGAATGGAACAGTATGCCAACACATTATTGATTCCCTGCCAGAGGCAAATTTTAAGCATTTGCTAGACTTTCATCTAATAAACATGGCAGACTTTTGCTACTCTCACTTTAAAGGCGACGACCTCCGATAGCTTGACTTCTCGACAGCATGCCCTCACTTTGTAATGATTCGGTTCAGATAGAGCTGACAATTGCCTTCCCCTGCTCGCATTATCCAAAAGGAAGGATAAATACGGAGGTGAGACACTAAGGAGAAAAGGTGTGCAGAGGAGAAATATTTTATGGTTAAATAGGGTAGAATATGAGACGGTAGTTAGTGATGAAATGTATATGTTGGCGCAGGATGAGACTGCTATGCAGGACACACTTTCTGCGCTCTGGAACACAAAGAAACAAGGATCTTAAATTTAACAGATTTTGGAGAATTTTGTATCGCCTAACTTAACACATTTTCAAAAAAACTTCATTAGATTCTTCCGTTGTTTCAAACTTTTACAGAGCTTAGTCTGACATTGATGTAACTGGTACAGCATTGTAGTAGCCTGGGCAAAATACATGAAAACATATGTTCGTTGACTTACCTTTGACCTTGAGGTGTTTGTTCGCTTTGGGAGATGACCTCAACAGTCAGTCGCTCCGGTTGAAAGTCCCGTGATGCTGGTTGTTTACATCTCTTCCACCCCCGGAAACTGGAAGGTAACTGACAATATGTTGAGGTTTATTCGCTCCTCTAGGTAAAACATCGCCAACAGCGCATAATAGACCTACTTTCTTCGCTAAAGATACCGTATGAAGTCCGTGACATTTCTCAATGTGAGGATTCAAAAATTTTCATGACTAAAGCCCTCCAGGCCATTGGAAAACGTGCGACCGCACCTCAACTTTTCTACGGGGATGAATACATAGGGGTCAGTTGTGCTTGCTGCTTCTTCCATATTAACTTCCGTCATCTTTTATTTGTCACCGGAATTTTTCGTGTGCACATACCACTCGCGAAGCTCACCTACATCCTATTGCAGCTTTTCACAGACTCATGGTGTTTTATAACGGTAGTTATGAGCTAGGTTGTTTCCCGTTCGAGGACATTTCGATACTTTTGAACGCTCCTGTATTCGCGTTTGTTGTCAGGTGTCACCACTTACCACGGGTGATCAAGTGGTATATAAGTGCTCTTTGGACTAAGGTGTCACAAGCCATTCTATTTTGACAAATTGTAGAGGCACTTTGGTCACCGAAAAACCTTGATCGTAGTCCAGTCATACTAGAATGCATTTTTCCTATTCAAAATACCATTACCCTTCATACCATACCGATTTTAAATGTCATAGCACGGGACTGCTTATGTAACGTTCCGCTATAAATTCTTGGACGACCTATTTCAGGAATTTGTCTCACTTGTGCTGCCAGCGGCAAATATTCAAGTTCAGTTGGGATCCAAACAATAAAATAATCTCTTGAATGTTCCTTTTCCCGCGTATTGTTGGACCAGGATTTAGTGAGGTTTTTCTAGTTTTTTATAAATGTAGAATAAATATACGCATCACACTCTGACCAATCAGTTTATGGCTACATATGCTGTCTTGCAGCTCCTGCTGCGCGGGGTAGGGAAGAGTGAATGGTAAACTCAGAAGTGAAGAGAAGGAAGGCCAATTAAATATTGACAGTACCAAGGCATGAGGAAAACTAAAATAAACGATATCGGTCACAGCGCAAATGAATCGGTCGCATGTGCTGAGCGGGTTGTGTAAGTGCACGGTATTTTCGGAATTAAGCGACTTTAGTTAAGGACGGTAGCATTTACGATACACCAATTAATACTATGTATAAACATGTTCACACCTTCGTATTTACGCCAGTGATCGGTAATACTCCTCAATAGAGTAGTTGAACTATTCCACCAGAGTTACCGTGGTTAGGTAATAACGAGAATAAACATCTTTGTATTTGTTCATTTCTCAACAATTCTATAGGCGCGCGATCTTAATGAGTGTATGAATGGAACGGGTATAGACAGAGTTGGAGTGCTGTCTCGAGCATTAAGAAGTCAACACGGACGTCCGACTTGTAATGTGATCTTTAACTAAACTAAACTAACTCTAGAGTACCTATCCTGCTCTCTTTCATCTGGATTGATGTAATACGATAGAAAACTTGATTGATATTATGTTAACATGGATATGTGGATTTACAATTCTTGAGCGCTTTGATTTATACATTAGGTAATTGTTTTGGGAACTAGTTCATCCTACTTCATGTGTTGCTATCACTTGGTGCTCGCCTCTGTGTTTTAGCCGACTACGACTCCTACCACTAATTAGATCTACTTAAACTGGTGCCGCTGAAGCGGACAAGGAGACCAGTCCCTGATAACTGCTCGTCGCTATCTAGAGACATTAGCGACCCACTGGCGTCTGCTCTGGGTGCATCCTTTATATGATCGATGCAAGTAGCTCTTTACCGTCTTTTTCCTAAGGTCGGTGACTGAAAACTATTTTAGCCAGGGCGTTACTTTAGTATGAGTGTTCATGGTGAGATTCACAGCAGACTTTTGAAGTGGAGAGCGCTGCTTGCTCACGGTTTTGCTCTTCAGCTGGTATCGAGGTAATTCAGGCGTTTGGTTTGAACCCCACATTTTGGTGGAAAATTGTCTCAGCAGTGCGCTGGTACTTATTATATGCTCCACGCTGATACGCGACCACCAAAGGTTGTTTGCGAGTTAGGGATACTGCGACGTCGACCAAACGTAAGCACCATATATCCGTCAAACATTATTAGTAGAAGGCATGTCTCTATGCAGTCTTTAGAACTTCTAAGTGCTTTCCGATACATTCCATATGTAAGCAAACACAACAAGACTCGCCTGGATCTCAGGGCGAAACTGTGTTAAGGAGAAGAAAAACCGCGATGCCTAGTGGTTTCACCGTGCGTTGAAGATGAAAATGACCACTGTCCTTGGTAACCATAGGAAGTTATTCTGTCTGATAGGGAAAACGAGCAAAAGAAGACCCGGTGTTAGCGAGACTCTTTGCGACGAGAGCAGACAGTCAATCCATAATTTACTAAACGCTGAAAGTGTTAGGCTGAGCACTAAATTTAGTCCATCTCAACTACCAGCTTATCTTCCTGTCATTGCTTACTCTTCTCCCTGGGCCATTCCTTAGTATTCACTCTCTTGCGCAGAAGTCGAATGTGAGACCAAACTGCTAATGTTATATAAAGCAGAATGACCAGAGGGACTTAAACCATCCCTCTTCAAGTTCGGGTGACCATCGCTTCTTTTTGGTTTGCACAATTTACTAGTGAAGCTGTGGGACTAGAGCCGCTCTGTTACGGTACCGACTTTTGAGGGGCTCATTTTATGGTTGCGCCAATCGTAGAGGTATCAGTCTGGTCTCAGTTGCTTCCGGTAATAATGGAGGCATAATAATACTTGTTTCTTATACTTTTTACTATTCATTATTTATCTTTTTTCGAATACCTTACCGGATGGTATCGTGGCCCAATAGTTGAGATATTTTTCATCCCAGCCAACATGTAGATTGATGCGTGGTCTCTAAATTGCTTGCCTCTGTCGTTCTCCATAGATTGACTAGCATCCGTGAAATCCCGATTCTTGCAGAGCAGGCCGTGTTTCGTCGGTCTACGCCGTATTCACCATATCTTCATCTTATATCAATTGTTGCAGCATCACCATATCTATTGGTGACCCACCGCGGTGGTGTTTTTCGACATCAAAAATGCCTTCGACTTTTTACATCGAAGGAACGGTGTGTCCAAGTAATATGTGAATGTTGCAAGGGCGTTAAATGCGCTTGATTCGTGCATAGTGAGATCGTACGTCAAACTGTCGCCGCCCTTCAATATCCCCAGCGGTATGAGACAAAGATGTCCGCTGTCACCATTCCGTTTTAATTTTGCTCCTGTCGCAGTTCTTGAGATCGCGTTCACTGGACGCAACCTAACTTGTACATCCGCCCTCCGTTGGGTACTTACTTTTGGTTACAAAGTGCATGGTCAGCGATCTTGGCCTTGTCACTGCGCTGTACGAGCTTTCGTGGTATTCATTGAGGAGCCAGAGTACCAATCCGGAAATCCTCACGTTATGAGGCACTGCCGCTGATTGTTTACAACTGTCTATTCATCTCATCTGCGAAGCAAACGAAACTTATTCACATTTGCTTTCACAAAAGAGGCCTTCTTCAATCCGCACCCTGGGGAAGCGCCCGGTGGCACACAACGATCTCGTAATCTACTCCCTTTCTGGACATCCCATTCGCAGCTTCGCCCTGCATCAATACTACATCATCATATCACTGTTGCCTTGGTACACGCTTAACTGTGGTAGCAGTTTCCTCTTTAGATATTGTGGTTCACACTACCAAACTGGAGTCTTCTTAAACATTCGCTATATTGACCCTGTTAAATCATTTTTCACTATACCTGTGGCCTTTCACCCTGAAACGCAGCGCATGCTAGCCGTTAAACAAGCACTAAGACCGCGATATTACCATCTGTATTGCAATCTTAGTGCGCACGGTTATGCGTCGCCCATCGTAATCGCATGGAGCTTTGGGCGGTGTGGCCATCGGACCATTGATGTTGGCGATGCGCACCGGTGTACATGCGATTTGGTTGTTTGACCGAAGTAAACTATGACCTCGCGCTTCATTGAGCCACTCTCATTGTTCCAATTGACTTGCACACCCTGTTTGCCCACTGCACGCGATAGCTTGTGCGGAGAAGCGCGTGAGAGTTTAGCATAAGCACATCGACTGTCGGCGATATCAACATGCGAGCAGTCAACTACGTGCGAATCCTTTTCAAAGGAGCACAAACGCACTGTAACACCGCGGCTGATGCAGGCGGCGAAAGCTCACCTATTCAACGTGGTCGAACGGAACTGGTACCCAGAGGGATACATTCTGCGCTGCTTGGCACCACAAAACATCACAACAAATGCAACGGTTGAAAAGGGAGCCACGTTGCCTTATATCAACGGAATTTCTGGGATGACAGCGAGACATGCCTTTTGGAGTCGAAATCGGCCACTAACCAACGAATGCAATTCGAAGTAAACTGTTCAGGCTGAAAGATAAACCTAGCAACGAGGAATCAACTGCTGTGATCTACAATATCTACCGCCGAAACCGTGACAAATACCACATGGGACCGACAGGAAGAAAGCTAGGCACAAGGCTACATAAACACAACCTTGGCATCTGTCGTCACGATAAGAATTCCCTGATATACGTACATGTGGATGCCGAAAACCACCAATCCCACTTAGAGCACACCACAATCCCCGAAAGTACAAGAAGCTAACAAGCACTGAGTTCAGTGAAGCCTGACATTCAAAGCAGTACTCGATCAATAAACACTTGGATCTCGAAGTCGCTTACGAGGCTCTGCGAATCTGGGCCTTAGAGCCGGACTAGTGTTGTTGCCTAGTCTCGCAAACAAAACTTCTTTCAACCGAACCATTCGGCTCGGAGAACAACGCAAAATCTACACTCCTAGTCCTTTTCATCAACAAGCTCCATTATAGTGGTGCTGTTGATCACTCCCAGGTTCCGTATCTTACATTAACGCAGTTTCATCTTAGTCAGTCGTTGGTGGCTTCAGGCTTTAACATGTCACTGCACTCACACAGTCATGTACTCTGTCACCGCCTATGTGACAAGGTACACATATGCGAGTCTGGAATGAAGTGTGTCACTCCTGTGCTCCATACGTGCGTACACGCTGATGTGTATAAATGTCCGATATTCCGTTGGGTGACGGCGCTTGGTTAATGAAACGACTACACTCGGTGGGAGGCACAAGTGACTGTCAACCGAAGCAGCTTAGCCGATGGACGGACCAACATGCTCGTATCACAAAGCAATTTGATTTGCGTACAAATCACTTT